CACACACACACACACACACACACACACACACAGACAATATGAGATGAGCAGGGGACAAGACAGGACAGAAACTTGGTACTATGGTACTCATTATAGTGTTATAGAAATTAAATGGCGCCACCTTCATTGTTGTGGTTTTCAGTGGTTGAACTACACATGCCAGCACTTTTTGTGCAAATATTTTCAGTTATACTTTTGCACCTTTAATTTATTCTGTGAAGTAATAAGTTCAGGAACAATCTTCCTCCAAATATGTTATATGGAATTGGTTACTAGTGCAATATAGATTTACAGTATTAGCACTAGTTTTGTAAGTTTTGTTTGTTTCATCAAATGTCTTTTGATAAATAAATGCAGAATTTAGATGTACACATGATCTGTCATATTATTACTCTGTGGTTAAAAGGACTCGAAATTCAAAGTTTAAGACTTTGGACTCGACTTGGGACTCGCCAGTCTTGACTTTGGACTCGACTTGGGACTCGCCAGTCTTGACTTTGGACTCGACTTGGGACTTGCCAGTCTTGACTTGGGACTTGACTTGGGACTTGGAGACAACGACTTGAGACTGACTTATGACTTGCCAAATAATGACTTGGTCCCACCTCTGATAGAAGCATGAATGTCCTTGAAGAGCTGAACATTTTAATAGCTGAAATTATGCTGAAGTTGAATTTCCCCAATTATTTGAATGGAGCAAGATTTTCAAAATAAAGCTAAATATTTCAAAAGTATGAAGTTTAGAAACCTTCTGAAGAGAAGCATAAATGTCCTTGAAAAGCTGCACATTTTGATAGCTGAAATTATGCTGAAGTAGAATTTTCCCATTCATTTGAATGAAGCAAGATTTTCAAAATAAAACTGAATATATTAAAAGTATGAAGTTTAAAAAACTTTTGAACAGAAGCATGAATGTCCTTGAAGACCTGAACATTTTGATAGCTGAAATTATGCAGAAGTAAAACTTTCCAATTCATTTGAATGGGGCAAGATTTTCAAAATAAAGCTAAATATGTTAAAAGGATGAAGCTTAGAAAACGTTTGAATAGAAGCATGAATGTCCTTGAAGATCCGAACATTTTGATAGCTGAAAAAGCTGAAATTATGCTGAAGTTGAATTTTCACATTCATTTGAATGGAGTAAGATTTTCAAAATAAAGCTAAATATTTT